CCCCCGGCAGGAAGGGGCAAAAGGCAGGGGGCGGTCCCCCCCGCCTTTTGTCCCTTCCTCCTTCTCCTCCTCCTTCTCCTCCTCCTCCTCCTCTTCCTCCCCTCTCCTTCCTCTATGTGCAAGAACCATGGCACGTGCCAGTTGCTTGGGCTTTTCTGCGGAGCTCCTGTGGGGCTTGAAAAGCGCAGCAGGGGCGAGCGAGATGAGCCCACGACTGCATGCGGACTTTTTCATTCTGGCCTTCTGCGGAGCTCCCGTGGGGCTTGACAAGCGTGGCGAGGGTGTGCCAGAGGGGAGGCGGGAGGAAGGATGGGGAGGATGACCGGGAGGACCAGGAGAGGACGCGGTGCGCTGCCGATTCAAAACGAGGACCCGACACCACAGGATGGCCGGCACATCAAAACTCATCGTGGGGCACCCGTTGGCAGACCGGCGTCTCGTCTGGTGCTCCTCGCTGTATCCCCAGCGCGCGTCGCGCTCCGCCACATGGGGGGTCAAGAAAAGGGCCCTAGGGCCCAGCGCTGGCGGAGATGCTGCCGCCCGCGGACGTCCGACGTCTCGGGCGGGTAGTAATGGGGGGTGGCCGAAGTCGGGGGTGAAGAAAAAGGGGCCCTAGAGGAGCCCTTTTGGAGCTCCTTTTGGGCCACTGCTGAAGTGCCCCGTAGGGGGGGGGGCCTAAGCGGGGGGTGAACAAAAGGGGCCCCAGAGGAGCCCTTTAGGGCCCCTGCCGGCTCCAAGAGGGGCCCCAAAGTGCCCCTTCAGGGCCCTTCTCCTCACCCCCCATCTCGGTCACCCCCCATTACCACCCGCCCGAACGTCTCTTTTCACGCGGCCCTCTGCCCCCCCCCCGTATTCCAGTGCTGGACGCTCGACGACACGATGGTCATGATGGCGGTCCTTCTCGGGGGGGAGCAAAAAGACACCGGCGCCACGACTCCCGAGACCTCTGGGGGAGGGAGGGCGCTCTGGCCAGGATTCCGGGGCCAATCCAGCCGTTGCGACGATGGGGCCAAGCAGGAGGCATCACAAAGAGTGAAAACGAGTGGAGGACAGGGCCACGAGAAGCGAAAACTGACGACACACCAGGGCCCCTCTCCCTCGGGGGCCCTTCTCTTCGCGGTGGCCCTGACGCCCTCCGACCCAGATCCCGAGGCGAACCCAGCCGTCACGTGCCTTGGAGGGTCAGGACGGGGGAAACGAGCGAGAGGCATGGTATCCCCAGTGCCCAACGCTGTGACTCTTTCACAGCGTGGACCCCTGAAGTCTGATCCGAAGTCTCGACCCCTTCCCAGGGACCAACTTTCCATCCTGGCTCATTTACCCGATCGGGTTTTGCCTAGGGGTTTTTACTTGTTGTTGACGAACTGGTGGGCTCGAGGCGCGGTCGTCGCCAGGGTCCCGAGGGTTTCTTTGTCTTGTTGCCGGAACAGGAGGTGCGATGGGATTCCTCGGTCTTAATGCATTACAATGGTCTTGGTTCATTGATTCATTGGTCTTGGTTCCTTGCTGCCTTCCTCCGACTCCTTGGTCTTGGTTCCTTGGTTCCTTGGTTGGGGTTCATTGGTTCCTTGGTCTTGGTTCCTTAGTTCCCGGGTCTCGGTTCCTGGATTCCTAAGTCTTGGTTCCCTGCTGGCTGGCCACGCAATGCCAAGCAGTGCAAAGCGATGCCACGCAAAGCCAAAACATGCAAAGCAATACCAATCAACGACACGCAATGCCAAGCACTGCGAAGTAGTACGCCAAGCAATACTGCGGATCTCACAATAAAAGGGTGGTGGTCTGATTTTTTTGGGGGTCTGATTTGAGTTGTCTTGGAGGGTTCCAGTCTGGTCTGGTCTGGACAACAGGCCGCCCTTTCATGGCTGGTCTGGGTGGGGGGCGTCTGAAACTTGCTCGGCTAGGAGGGTTGTGACCCCTCCCTTTTCTTACAACATCTGGAGTACGCGAAGCAGTGCCAGGCAAGTCGCCCACGCAGTAGGAAGCTTTCCAATGATTGGGGTCGCGGTGGGTTCATTTACTTCCCCTGGGCCTGAGGAAGACCCCCAGGAGCCGAAAGATACTCGAAGCATTCCGTCGTTGTTTGTGCTCGCGAGGGGTCTGGGTCAGTACCCACCCGTCGGTTGGAAGAAGTGGGCAGAAACATCACATAGAAAAACCTTGAAAGAAGATTGGGCTTCCGCTCTCCCGCTGAGGACGAGGGAAGCGGGAAGATCACTCCACTCTTGAAGTAGGACGGTACCTAAAGTAGTTCGGGACTTGGGCATCCAAGAATACATACTTTCAACGAACGACGGGTACTAGCACCGTCGAAGCATGGCCACAAGAACGTGGACCAGGAACATGACCCCCATTCGCCGAGGGACCTAGGCCCCAGGGAGATACCCCGAGCGAATAAGACTCATCACCCAAGCGACTCCAACAAAGGACCCATGTGGGGGCCATCCGGAAGGAAGGCATTCCCAGGGCGCGCCGAGGAACCCAGAGGGTTCAGTTTCCGCGGAGGTCGAATACAAATCCTTGGCGACAGGTTCGGGCACGGGGGTTACACCTACCTACAACTCCAGAAGTGGGATGAACTCTCAGCCGCGGGGGTGCTGGCACGCGGGTCCCACCAACCCACAGCGCAGCCAGACGAGGAAAAGCGCGAGAGCCCAGATTGTAAATGTAATGCAACACTCTAACATTAGTTGCACTAGGGAATTATTCGATCTTTCTTTGCACGATACTGTGCGTCATATCTCCGAAATCGGCATTATATGCTGTCTCCTTATTCCTTAATCACGGTTATATTCCGCTTCCGTACCCCCAGGTCGCGATCCTATAGCGTTTCCATATTCCTAAGTCACGAGTCTATACTGTTTCCCTACATGCCTCAATCGCAACTCGATAAAACTAGTTGTGCTGCAGGACCAGGTGCACTCTAGGAGCAGCTGCGTGCTATGCAGCACATGATGGTACAAGTTACACTCAAGTGCCAAGTGTACTCTCTAGTTGGGGGGGGGAGGGGTTCCAGTGTTAATACGCGCGCGGGAAACATTAAAAAATACCATGTGCCGTCAGGGGTCCCGGGCATAACGGATCCCCGCGAAAATGCAACCCCCGCGGAAGGAAAAGAAATCTGGCCGAGGGGGTGGGGGGTCCAAGCATATTTCGCGGGGACGATGAAAACTCCAAGGCGGAAGACCCGAACATGCAGAACATAAAACTCCTCCAGGCTGGGATTGCCCCGGATGTCAAGTGTCGTGGAGGCCTCCCAGGTGGAGCCAGAGTAGATGGGGTCGGAGAGATCGATCGCACCACGTCGCCAGTGCACAGGCGACGTCGAGACGAAGCCAGCAGGGCTCTGCATCGCGCCCCACTGCCCATGCGGCGGCTCTGCGGCGCGATCCTCCGACCCCGTCTTTTGTGCCCCAATTGGGAGACCTGGATTTCTCCCCAGGCCTCGGCACGGAGTCGAACTCGACTCGGAATGTGCGTCGCATCGGGCTGCATCGACACTCGATCTAAATCGCATCGGCTCAGCTGCGCCCAGATATACACGGCTAAAGCCGCGTCAACATCGGGCCGCACCAGATCGTCGAGAGACCGAGATCGAACCGGACCGAGATGGGGGAATTCGACACCAAATCGAATCGATCGATTCAAAATGGGCCCCTTTGGGGGAGCTCAAGATCGGTCCCCGGACCCCTCCCAGAGCCCTCCCTGACCCGTTCCTTGAGACGGACCTAGCCGTGGCGACGAGAAGCCTACAGCAGGCCTAACAAGGACGAAAGCCGCCAGGGAAGGCCGCCATTGTTTTGACATGGGAGGCTCAAAGTCGGTCCCTGAACCCCTCCCGGGCCCCATCCCGACGCGGACCCAGCCGTGGCGACGAGAAGCCTCCAGGAGAGACCCAACAAGAACTAAAAAACAGGGAGGGCCGTCGCTCTTGAGGTTCAAGATCGGTACCCACAAACCCTCCTGGGGCTCATCCCGACCCGCTCCTCCAAGCGGACCCAGCCGTGGCGACAAGGAGCCGCCAGCAAGCCTTACAAAGACAGGAAAGACAAAGTTTTCTTGTTCGGCGCTTCGACATTGGGCGGAAAAGGGGGGGAGAGGGGGGGGGCGCCTGGCTCCGGACCTCTGCATAACGCGACTGTTTGCAACAGTGCGTCCTATGAGGGAGAGGCTCCACAGGCTTGAAACAGGCGCCAAAAACAGCCGAGATCTACTCCGTGGGGGGGGGCTGCGAGGGCCAGCGCCGATCGGCAGAATAATGAATACAAGAGAACGATCAAACGCCAGGGAGGGCCGCTGTGTGTTTCGACATGCCCCCTCTCCGCCCCCATGGCTCCCCGGTGCCCCGAAGCGGGGGGGGCCACGGAGAGGGGGGTCAGCACAACTTGGCCCGAGGCAGGTGCAGTAGGAGCTCGACCACAGGGAACCTTCCACGGGAAACCCAACCCTGAGACCCCAGGGCGTCACGCTCTCTGTAGCAACGTCACGCTCTCTGTAGCCAAACCACCGAAACCCAAGAAACCCAGGGCACCCTGGAGACATGCAGGGTGTACTGTATGGGGACCAAGACGGAACCCAAGGAACGCATCGAAAAGACGGGAAAAGGCCACGAGATTTAATGGCTGTGGCCATGAGATCCCGTCACCCTGGCGCTGCACCTTTGTCGTGACGTCAGCCCCCGGGGGTTCGACCACTTCCCAGGGGTCGAATGTTCATTCTGGGTCGCTTTTGATATGGTCCCAGGGCTGGGAAACGGCCCCTCGAGGCCGAAAACTAAGAAAAACAGGCGTCGAGGTTTGTTCTGCGCCGCGCTGGATCTGGAGGGTTCTCCCCTGGAGGAGGAGGAGGAGGAGGAGGAGGAGGAGGAGGAGGAGGAGGAGGAGGAGGAGGAGCAGGAGGAGCAGGAGGAGGAGGAGGAAGAGGAGGAGAAGGAGGAGGACGAGCAGGAGGAGGAGGAGGAGGAGGAGGAAGAGGAGGGAGGGAGAACGAAGACGACGGTGGGCCTCTGCTCGTCCGTGAGCACCCCGCGCAGCTGCAGGAACGGGCGGCAAGCACGCCGCCCGCGGCCCGCTGCTCTCCTGAGGAGGCACGCGGGGGGGACCGGCTCCCGAAGGGAGCCGAGTCTCGAGGGTTTCGGAACTGCTTTGGCTCCCCCAGAGGACACCCACGAAGATTGCCCAGAGATCCAACGAACGGAGGAGATCGGAACGCAAGCTTCTCGCCCTTTTCGGCCTCCATGGGCCCTTGCTGGGCCCCAAGACCGACAAACACACTCAGGATGAAAAGCCGGTCCCAGGACATGGGTCGAGACTTCCGGGAACCCCGCATTGAGAAAATCAAGACATCAGAGGCTTTCAGGCCATGTTTGGAAGTGAGCGTTGACTACACGCACCGTAAAAACTATGGCTCAAGCCACCTGGTTTGGAATCCACACTGGAGAACCAACTTCGGTAGCGCTGATGTGGTGGCAGGTCCCTTGAGACACGCCGTCCTCCGTACCCACAACTTCACCGATATATTCCAGGAAGACCGTCAAGAAGCCGACATGCATCATCAGCAGCAGCAACAGAAGCTCGCGAAGGCCAGCTTCTTCGGACGCGTAGCAGCAACTATACTACTCTTCCTCATCACTTACATCCGTGCGAACTTCATCACGGACGCCAACGACAGCGCCAGCTCCAGTGGCATTCCGCTCGACACGTTCAATAAGAACACGCCACTGGGCTGGCGACCCGTCAATCAGAAGTACCTGTTCCGACGCTACATACAGCTGCTCCGACTGTGGTGGCGACAAAAATAACTACCTGAGCATGTAGCAGGACCAGCAGTGGCAGGGCGTCGACTGGGCGCGGCATTTCAGCGAACGATGAAGATGAAGAGAGACATGCTGGACCTCAATGCAGGAGTTAGACGCGAGATGGAAGGAGACGAGCTACTAGCCCAGCCATCACACCCAGAGTGGCAGGACGCTCACGGAGTACAGCATGCAGCGGAGCCAGCAGGTGCTTCATCACTGCTGGATTTGCTGGTACAGGAGTTCGAGGTTCAAGGTCAAAACATGAGTATTGTTGCGTTGTCTTCCTTCTTTTCTCTGCAGCGATGCAATCTACCTATGAATGACTTCCTCACCATGTTCAGACTGTGCTTCTAGGAAGCGTAGGATCGTGGTGGCTTGAAGTTAAACAACATTGGCAAGCATGTCCTTGTTCTACAGATGTCAGGACTTTCGGAACGTATGCGAACAGATCTACGAATGCAAATGGAAGACCTCAACGGATATCCTGAACTCATTGCTTCGATACAGAGAATGGCCAATCATGAATTTCAGGGCGTCAGCTTGTCAATTCCGTCGAAGGTCTCACAGCACTGGACACACGAAGGTGCCAACTGGCAGTAAGGCTACCCAGGCAACGACAGTCCCGAGTCCTGGTGGTCAGATGAATCGTGGCCATGGGTCGGCTACGGCGACGAATGGGTGGAAGGATCATTGATCATCCTCTTGTCATGGCGACGAGACCGACTGGGGCGGCTTCTATGATGAAGGAAATGGTATCTACAGCAAGGACGGCTACGAACACGAAGAGGAGGACTACTACGGTGGCCAAGGCAGAGGAGAAGGGCGTGGACGTGGCAAGTCCAAAGGCAAGAGTGGCAAGACATCTTCCAGTAAGTCGAGCGACGGCTGTACAGCGTGTGGTTATCCTCTTCATGCGAGTTCCGATTGTCCTCTTCAGAAAACTCAGTCAGCGTCATCAATAAAACCCTCCCGACTACTACGGCAACAAAGGCAAGAAACGAACACATGAGCAATAAAGGCAAGTCACTCAACAAGTCAAATGGCAAAAATAACAGCTCTGGTGGAAAAGGCGTTGGCAAGCCATGGAAACAACTCGAAGGGCAAGAAGTAAGAAGCACGGCAATAATGGTAGCTCCTTCGACGAAGCAGAAACAAGTCCACATGAAGATTACGACGGTGAAGAACCTTGGTCTCACAGCCGTCACTGGGTCCACGACGGAGAAGCTGCGGCACCGAAGCCAGAGCTGTTTTCACTTGGAACGCCAGCGCAGCCAATTTCGGCAGGGCCTCGGATCGAGGCGCCAGTCAAGCACGACATCCAACTGGGCATGATGAAGTTCAACGCGGACGCGGCGGTGGTATCGCCTCCAGAGCAGACAACGGTTGTCAACTTTGTCAACTTCCCGACTACGCAAGAGCCAGCTCTGGCACAAGGGTCGGCATCATCATCGGCTTCCGGGACGACCAGGCCGCCAGCTGGGCCAGTACTCAAGAAGTCCATCTTCATGAGCATGGCGACGCTCAGCACCGCGCTAAACTACCCGATGCACCACGAGAGCTTTGGTACCATGCACGTGGTTCGTGGCGAAGAACGACTGGGACTCCTCAGTGACACAGGAGCAGATTCGGCCTTGATGGGTACAGACACCCGACGCATGCATCTGGATCGAATGGTCCAGCCGATGGGTGCCATGAGCGAAGTCACCTACGGACCCTCCGACGCGACGTTCACAAGAGTTGGTGGTCGGCCTGAGAATTGCCAAGGCGTCTACACGATGCCACTTGGAGTGCCAGGGCCACCGGGAGCGACATTCTCAACAGATCTAGTCGGCACCGCTGGATCATCATGTCCAGGATTGATGCCTTTACCCAGCATGCTGAACTGCAGTGTCGCAATGATGTGTGGGGTGTACGACAGCGGCGACGGCATCTTGATCATCTCGGCCCCCGGGAAGCTGAACCACGGACGCGTCCAATGCAAACAGCACCGCAGATAAGGTGCATGAGAAAATATTTGCACGCACGACCTGACAGCAAGGCTGAACATACACACGCGACGTCTGGCCGCAAGGCATGGACTAGAAGGAAAAGCAGCAACTTGAGAAGTACTGCGTCTGCATGCTGCTGGAGTTCTACTTCGGAGGCATCATCGTGATCACGCCGGAGACCGCGGCCAAGTGGTGCGAGCTGATCTTCAAGGATTACCATGGCCTGGAGTTCATGGAGCATATGTGTGGCTCTGGAAGGCTGAGTCTCTGTGCCTACATGTCTGGATTGGTCATCAGCTCCCCTCGTGACTTCAGGTGCGGCTGGGGTCACAGACGCAAGACGCCTTATGATCAAATTGGCAAGATCGGCAACAACGATCAACAACATTGTGAATTTTTACTCGCCCAGGTGCTCCCCATGATCCGCGTCAGCAGTGATGGAAGAAGCCAACAAGCTAGAAACTTAACGACAAGCAGGGTATCCAAATCTACAGTAGCTAGCACAACGGGTTCGACGAGCTCATCGCGATGGACGGGCAAGCATCATCGAGAATCGAAGGAGCTCGGCCATCTTCAAGAGCTCGCCGCTCAAATCCATTGCGCAGCTCGGAGGTCCAGGACATCTTTATACATGTCAGCTACGAGCTCTGGATCCCTCGACGGGCGCGGTAGTCAAGAAGCCGACGTTCCTGCTCACGTTCAATATCAAGCTGAACAGGCCACTGCTCAAGTCTCAGGGCGACTCGAAGTGCAGCGAACCCTCCGCATTGCAGGGCTTACTTCCACGCACGAGCATCAACAAGACAGCTGCAGCGGTTGTCTATCCATGGCCCGTGGTCACAGCCATAATTCACGACGTACGCGATCATCTTCGAACTGGTGCGGTCAAGGACAATGCGAGTTTCTACCCACACTTCTGGAACTGCGAGAGGTGCCGGCACTGACTACACAAGAAGCTGTCCGACGGCAGCTCACAAGCGACCCGCGCCACAGACTCGCGTGGCAGGCTGCAGGTTTGCTTCAAGCAGAGTTGGAGCACAACCTGGAGGAGTACCAGATGCTGCTGGAGGTGCACCACCTCCAGCGGGACTAGATGTACCAGCTGGTGCCCTGTGGCCCCGAGGGGGCCCCTCCCGTGGGGGAGGGGTTGGGACCCCAGGGCCCTCCGGGCGCAGGCGGGGTACGCCGGGCCCGAAGGGCGAAAAGCCGTAAGCGGGGTCCCCTTCACAGGGGGGGCAGCCAGGTCCCGGGTCCTCACCCAGGGCACCGCAGGGTTTCTCCCCCCGCGTTCGCCGCCTTGGGGCGGGACTGGCTGTCCGTCTTCCCTGTCGTGTCGTCCTTCGTCGTCGTCGTCGTCGTCGTCGTCGTCGTCGTCGTCGTCGTCGTCGTCGTCGTCGTCGTCGTCGTCGCCGTCGCGTCGTCGGCCCCAAGGTCCGATTCCCAGGTTTTTTGCCTGTGTCCCGTGGGTGTGCGGGTGGCCCTGCCCGTTCGGCTCTCCCCCTTCGTGGGGGCGGTTTCCGTTCGGGCGAGGCTCCCGCCTGCCTGTGAGGCGCGGCCTTTTCCCCGTCTTGCACGGGCGGGCTCGCCCGCCGCCCGCATGGGCGGGGCGCCGCGGCCGCGCCGCGCGGCCGTGCGCGTCATCCGCGGGTGCGCGGTTTGGGCTGAAGCGCGCTGTGGTAAAGAAAAACAAAAAACTGTTGCCCCTGTGATGCCAGCAGCAGCGGCTGCGGCGGCCGCCCTTGCTGCCCAAGAGCCGGAACATCCAGCACCTGCAGTGCCAGGTCCAGTGCCAGGAGTACCTCATCCTGCCGCTCAGGCGGAGCCTGCAGACCAAGTCGCAGACCATCTTCCAGAACAAGCTGAAACACCAGCAGCTGTTCCAGCAGCCGCCGCGGCAGTCGAGCCGCCGCCCGAGACTGTTGCGCCTCCAACCTACATGGAGCCGAGCTTCGACCTCAAGGCGGCCCAACAAGTGCTTCTAGACCCGAAGGCCTCGACCAAGGAAGCAAAGACTATCATCATATATCATGATGGGCATTCGTGTGAAGTTCTGCACGCGGCCGCCGTGGAGCTCTGGAGCTCCAGAAGATGCTATACTGGGCTGGCTATGGCAAGGAAATCACCGAACTGCTCGACAGCGTCATCGAGTACTGCAATGAGTGTGCCACGTGGAAGTGGAAACTTACACGGCCACAGATCAAGGCAACGCTGTCCGAGAACTTCAACTACAGAGTGCAAACGGATCTCCTTCATCTTCGAGAAGACCTTCATTGTTCTAGTCGACGAGTGCACTCGGGGATGCCTGGTCGAAGAAATCTCAAGAAAGATTGCCGACGAGTGGATGACAATTGTCTTCAGAACCTGGACCGTGTACTTCGGCCCCATGACGTTCTTGGTCACCGACCTCGAAGGCGCCGTCACGAGCGACCTCGTGGGCAAGTGCTGCGACAAGTTCAACATCACTCGCGATTTCGCAGACTCGCGAGGGCACGCTGCAGCTCCTATTGCTGATAGGCGAATCGATATCATCAGGACTGGAATGCAGAACATATGGGCCACTGTCAAGAAGCAAGGCCTCAATACTACAAAAGGCCAGGTGGTCTGCGAGGTGGCCATGTCGACCAACAGCATGCGGAGCTACCACGGTGCGACGCCTACTCAAGGACACCTTGGCTATCAACCTCGCGAGCTCTACGATCCTGAAAACAACTGCTTGCAGCCACCTAGCCCTTTTTGAACCATATTGATGAACCAACAACACACACCCATACCCATAGGGGGATCGGAGAGGGCTATGGGTGCGTGTTGTCGGATGGGGGTCCCCGCTCGAACGGGAGCGTTCCCCAGGGTCCGACAACCCGCACCCATACCCATAGCCAGTCCTCCTCCCAACGACCTCCCTATGGGTATGGGTGTCTGTGTGTCGTTCGTTCGTCACATTTTGCGACGAAAATTGGCAAAACATTTGGTAATCCCAAGCGCACAGAACTACCTTCCGCTTACCTGGGCACGAAGCACGAGCGACTCGCGCCGGGACATCTGCTCTTTCACCAGCGACACTACGTGGAGAAGCTGCCGAGTGCCAAGGTGGAAGGGGCCCTGGGACACACAAATAAATACACACAAGTAAAGGGATTCCCCATATTTTTCAATATGTTCTGGGTTTCTGTCTTCCCCCCCACTTCGCATGTTTTCCCATATTTTCGGGGGGAATCGACGATTAATTGTGTCTGTGTTTTTTCCCCTCCTGAAAGGTCTCGGACATCAAGCGCCTCAAGGAGGGCTTCCAGGAGCTTGGCCAGTTCGAGCATCATCAATCCAGGTCACTGGTGTGCAATTCGCTGTGCAATTGCAATCGGAGATGGTACATCCACACGTGCAGCACCGGAAGAGTGCTAATTGAGCTTCGGTCAAGGCTAGCAAGACGAAGTCCATGAATGTGTTGCATCATCATCGAGCACCATTCCCAGTAAGACTCTGCAGTATCCACGACTGCGGACATGCTAACAAGACGAGTTGCTATCCATACGAAGGCAAGGTCGTATGACTGATGCACGACTCGCTAAAGGACGACTCTCCAGTGGATTTCGAGTGAAGGCTTGTCACCATTTGGAGGGTTCGGACATGTTCTATTCTTCAGTGCACGGAAAGTCTCGAGAGCATCGCACTCGACATCGCACGCAGAGACACTTCGGCAATCGGATGCACACAAATGAAACAGCTGACCACAGCAAGGTTCAAACAGATTTCCTGAAAGATGGTACTGCCATTAGCGAAGGACGGCGCCACAGCACACGACATGCTGAAGTTGAGTCTTCAAGACATGACTGTCGTTCCACATGATCCAGTGACAGACTGGATGGACCGCTTCGAGCTGATCACTGACTGGTGGTCGTGGTGTGTCGCCGGACAAGTCTCAACGCGTGGCTATCGGATATCATGGCTTTACGAGAAGACAGAGTCCATCACAGTGTCCGATCGCTACTTCATGCACCGACATACGTGATGCTGGCAGATGGCCTCAACAAGGAATGATGGTTCGAACTACTGCTGTACTTCACGACGACAGACAGATGGAATATCACTCTGCTCGACGGATAAAGAATCAGGCACAAGCGTGCCACACTACACCCGGAGGCTACCGAGAAGGAAATCAATGAGATCCAGGCGTAGCTGGACTACGAGATATACTACGTCAACATGCGTTGCAATTGTGAGGCGGAAAACAAGAAAGTGAGTGAAAGGCTATCTCTCTCTCTCGCATCCCTTAAGCATTCTTGTGCAAGATGAGCTCCACAGTAACTTACGACCTAGGGTGCATAAAGCAGCTTAGCAAGCCAACTTGATACTAACAACGCGTAGTTGATGTCTTTATCGTAGAGAAGCAGATGGAGCCTAGACTGTATGTTTGAAACAGCCCCAAGGTCCCTCGATCGCTCCACGCTTTGCTATAGTTTTCGTTTTCCAGGGCCTGTTAAAAGAACAGGCATCGGAGTTGAGTTTCAAGTACGTGTTTCAAAGGCTTCCAAGCCATGTTCGGAATTAAGCGTTGACTCTCTGCACCGAATCTCTTATGGCTCAAGCCATCTGGCTTGACATCCTCACTGGAAAAACCGACTGAGGGGAGGGGAAACATCGAGCTTGACTCGGCGCAACATCGTCGATTGATCGGCGGCAGGCCCCAGAGGCCTCCAAGACGCCTCCAGGCGTTCCTGGAGGGTCTCCAGGAGGGGCCCGAAAGGCAAAAGCCATTGACTCTCCTTGGGATTGTGTTTGCTTGCTTCTCGGCCCTCTGGCTTCCCAGACGGTCCGAGAGGCTCCGAGCATCAAGCCCAAGAGGGCTCCCAAGGGCCCCCGACAGCGAAACCGCACGCTCCAGGGCGGGGTGCGCTAGCGGGCCCCGGTCGGCGATGAGTGGCTGGGGGCGCGCAGACAGGGATTAGCGATCCATGGATTTGGCGCACGGCCGCCCAATCCACGGATCGGTGCCGCCTCGCTCGGCGGCGGAAGTCCGCGGTTCCCCCCGGGAGACTGGACCCGTCGCTAACTTCCACGCCCCCCCTGATCCATATCTGCGATCGCCTGGCTGTCGGCGATGAATGGGCGAGGGTCGATGCATCCCCCCTGAAACTATTCCCTCGTAGTCTTCGGATCATACCTACCTCGAGCCTCTGGCGGCCGCTCGGGGCGCTTCGGGCACCCCCTGGAACGCCCTCGGCGCGGCGCAGCTGCTGGAGAGCACCCCCACGGCTGGAAACCGCCGAGGACCGACGGAAACGTTCGAAAACCTCGAACCTCGAAAAGCCAGTTTCTGTTGCCCGACTCGGGCGCGCCCGCCGCGCCGCGGCGGCCGTGGGGTCGGCGAGGCGTGGACGCCCGCTCGGGCGCAAGGAAGCAGGAAGGCGGAGGGGAGGAGGGGCGAGGAGGGGAGGGAGGGGAGGAGCAACGAGGGGAGTAGGGGCGAGGAGGGGAGGGAGGGGAGGGGGCGAGGAGCAACGCGAGGGCTGGGCGCGAGGAAAAGCCTCCCTGGATCTCCCCCCCCCACACAACGTCGCCCTCCGCGCTCCGCCAGGTGCAGCCCCTCCACGCCCCCGGCCGCGGCCGCGGGCACCGGCCGCAGCGGCCCGACGGGCGCCTCGACCGCTGGGGCGGCGAGCGCGGCGGCCCCGCGGCGCCTTCGCAGAGGCCCAGATCTCCGCCGAGGGGACTTCTGCCAGGCCCCCCACCCCTTCAGCGCCTCTCGTCGTTCCAAAGAATCACGACGAGAGGTGCTGGATCCGTCTCTGCCTCCGAGCGCGGCGGCCCCGCGGCGCCTTCGCAGAGGCCCAGATCTCCGCCGAGGTGACTTCTGCCAAGCCCAAGCCCCCCCCCCCCCTCCAGCGCCTCTCGTCGTTCCAAGAATCACGACGAGAGGTGCTGGATCCGTCTCTGCCTCTGGGGGGCCCCCCTCGCTAGGCCCCGGGGCCGCCCGGGAACGACCGGCGGGGGAGAACTGCTCCCGGGAGAGGGGCTGATACCTGTGGGAGTCGACGCTGCGAAAAGTCACGACGTCGGAGATCTGGGAGGGACTGGTATCTGACCTATGCTTCGGCCTCGCGGGTTTTCAACCGGAGGCAGGATCGGGACAGAGTCGGATCGGGATAAACATCGGAGATCTCCAAGACCTGGCGGCTCTGGACCCAGACCCCCGATGCCATGTCTCATTCGTAAGTTCGACCCCCAGAGGTCTCGACCCATTCCCCGGGACCAGTTTTAGGTTGGGCAGGTCCTCCTACAGGCGGATCTAGAACGAAAAATAAGCCAGAGTCAAAACATGCACAATAATAGTCAAACGTAGTCGAAAAATCGTCCCCAGACGGTTTTTGTTATACTTATTTTTCCTCCTGTAGAGGGACATGCCCGACTCAAGACCAACTCTTCATCCTGGGTCGTTTTTTGACGGTCCCGAGGCCCGGTGAGGACCCCCAGAGGACGAACATAGCGGAGCAAAAAACCTGCCGTCGTGTTTCTCCCACCGGGGGGGGGGGGATGTGCTGGGCGCTGCGGCCGCTCCAGGCCGCTCCAGAACGGCCCGGAAGCGTTCCAGAACGCTCTCGGAGCGATGCCTCCCGAGCCCGAGTCAGCCCGATGTTCGGCCCCCCCGGGGCCATCATGGGACGCACAGAGACCTACTGGTACTGTATGTCCTCCTTGGAGGCGCGCGTGCGACCCGAACATACAGTGTACCCATCTTGTAGTATACCGTTTCCCGAGCGGTGTGGCCAGAAAGCGCCCGCCACGACGCACATACTATAAGCTTTCTCGGTGCGCGCGTCGCCCCCAGGGGGGGGGGGGACGCACATATAGCATAAGTGTGTTGGGTTGACGTCGACATCCGTCGGCGGCGAAGTGAGAAGGGACAGGCCTTCTCAGAAGGATCGGAAATCCCCTGGCCATCCGAGAAGTTCTCTTAAGCCGTCACCGAGGGCACTGGAAAAATGCCCTCAGAAGGCCCGAGGCCCTTTCAGAAGCCCCGCAAGCATCTGAGAAGGCCTTCTCCCTCTCACTTCCCCCCCTCGCTCGCCGCTGAAGGACGGATCCAGGCAACAAATACTGCACGGGAGTGGCCCCCGAGCCCGGCGCGGGCCCTTGGGGCGAACAGCGCCCTCTGGAGGGTTCTTCATCCATTTTTCGGGCTGCGCGGGGGCGCCATTCCGGGCGGGCCCGAGGGGGCCACGAGGAGCTAGTCCAGGATGGAAAGCTGCCCCCGCGGGGGAGGCGCTCGGCAGGTCAGGCACCGCGGGTTCGAACACCAAGGAACATCGGGTCCGCCGTCAAGATATGTCCATGTCCACCGCCTGGGGGGTCATGCCTGGGGACCTCGTGGTGTGGCGGACGGTGAGACCTCGAGCTCCCAGGGCTCGACTCCAGAGCAGTGGATGTGGACGTATGTGGATATACCCCCTCCTCCGACGTCGCGAAATGCTTCGCGCAATGGGCCCCTGGGGTCCTATTCACTTCGCCGGGGCCAGCTCTTAATCCCGAGTCCCCAGCCGCCGCTTGTTGTTGACGGCCCTGCCTACAACCCTCGACAAAGTTAACCTCAAAAGTTGTTGACGCACCCCTACAGTGTCGCCCCCTGTTCGCCCTGTCAACGTCGCCCCCTTCAATGTCGAAGCAAGGCGGAACGCAGTATGGGCCCGCGCAACTCGGAAGTTCCACGGTGACCGACATTGGAGAGGGGGCGCCAGCAAGTACCTCGGACGCAATCCACCAAAATCCATAACATCAAGCTTACTAGTAAGTTGCGCACTTTCGATGTTGATTATTGATGCCTCGCGTATCCCCGCCAGCTTTGCGGCCCGTTCGCGACCTTCCGCCGCTGGCGCTTCCGCCTGCGGCTGTAAAAAAAAAGTATCCCCGCCAGCCCATCCAGCAACGATGCCCAGGCGAGTTGCCCTGATCAGGGAAGTGTAGGAGAACGCAGTGGAACAAGGAAAGAAGAAAGAACCGAGCAAGGGAGAGAGGACACGGACAGAACGCGTACGTGAAACAAAGGAGCGACAAGGGTGAATTCAGAGCTTTCTCGAAGCTCCCTGGAGATTCCAGAGGGGGTGGAGGGGTGGCGGGAGGGGAGGAGGGGAGGAGGGGGGGGGGAGGGAGGGGAAGAGGAGGGGGGGAAAGAGGGGGGGGAAGGGGGGGGGGAGGGGGGGGGGGGGAGGGGGGCAGGCAGGGGTGACTGCAGCGGGCGAGGGGGGGGAGTGGAGGGGGGGGGGGAAAGGGGCGGGAGAGGGGTTGAGGGGGTTGGTGGGAGGGGTGAAGGGAGGGGGTGGACGTGTGTGTGTGTGTGTGTGTGTGTGTGTGTGTGTGTGTGTGTGTGAATGGGGGAGGTCTGGTGAAGGGGGGGGGGGAATTCCAGGCGAGGGAGTACGGAGAAGGCTTTGATTAGGAAGCTGGAAGAGGGAACCCGCGAACACACCTCCGCCCAGACGGCTTGTGGGATTTTGTCGAGGGTTGTAGGAAGCGGCCTCCAGAGGCCGAAAGTTCTGAACACACACACACACATATACACACACACACGCACGCACATACACACAACACAACACAACAACAAAACACCACAACCTGTCTTTGTGACACCCGAATCCGAGGGCTCTGGCATCCGCCAACATGTTTTTCTGGTCCGCGGCCTCATAGAAGTCCCGACACATTCCCGCCAACAGGGCCGAACGTTGAGCCGCGACCAATATTCGGTCCAGGCATACCAATCCACTAGACATGATGCAGTCAAGCCGGACGCCTAAAATCCCGCCAGCCCTCCAGGCAGAGGTGCTTCATCGGGGTACCTCTTCCAGCTTCTTCATCAAATCCCTGTCCCTACCCTCTCCCCTGGAATCTAGCCCCCCCTCCGCCAGACCCTCTCTGCCCCTTCCCCCTCCACGCTCCACACACACACACACACACCCTCCACCCCCTCTTCCCCCCCCGTCCCCCCCCCGTGAGGGAGCGCGACCCCCTCTGCGTATTATTTTTACACACACGATGACAGCGATGGAAACATTCGCAAGTGTTCTGCCAATCCGATTGTTTTCGGTCCTTCAAGAACCGCGCTCGTCGTCGTCGTCGTCGGTTTCCTCCTCCTTCCTACCTCCTTCCCTCCTCCTCCTCCTCCTCCTCCTTCCTTCCTCCTTCGTTCCCCTTTCCCGATTTCGTTGTCCTCCTCCTCCTTCCTCCCCCGATTGGGCACCCGATTCGGTGGGAAGCAGAAGAAAATCGCGCAATGGGAAGGGATGGGAGCGAGGGGTGGGATGTCAGATGTGGCACGAGCGCACCTAGCTTGACCCTCCCTTTCTCCTCTCCCCCCCCCTCCCCTCCCCTCCATCCCTCCTCCACCCCTCCTCCACCCTCCTCGCCACCCCTCCACGCCCTCCGGAATCTCCAGGGAGCTTCGAGAAACCTCTGAATTCACCCTTGTTCCACTGCATTCTCCTACACTTCCCTGATCAGGGCAACTCGCCTGGGCATCGTTGCTGGATGGGCTGGCAGGGATACGCGGAGCGTTAAGAATGAGTCTGCCGGGCTCCATGCCGCTCCATAGTTTCAACAGTTCAACAATGTGGAACATCAATCATATCAAATGTCAGGTTGAAACGACACAACATGAACATGTTGTGAGGCAGCCCCGTGGCGACCGTTGCAATCCCGAATAAATAATGAAGGAATTCCGAAAATCAGATCCCAAACCAACCCCGCAGGGGTGGCTTGTCGTCCTGGATCCGTTCTTGACCACCTTAGGGCGCAAAGACTTCAGACGCCCCCTGGAGACCGAAATCGAGGAACAACGCTGGGCTTGAAGAACTCATGTCTTGGCGGACAGCCCAGGGGGGAGTCTGAGGGGGCGGGCCTTCTCAGAAGGCTCGGAAGGCATCTGGCCTCCTGAGAAGTTTTCTTCCCCTGAGACACGGGGAACTTCTCAGAAGGCGCGAGGGCTTCTGAGAAGCTTGGCCGCCTTCTGATAATGCCTGCCCCCTCTCACTTGCCCCCTGGGCTCGCCGTCGAATATCGTCGGGTGCCTGAGGGGTTGCTGTCGCCTGGCGGCACACACACACACAATGCAGCGCAGGCACGTTGGGCGGGATTGCAGCAGCGCCTCCCCGCCTCCGCAATCATGTGCCCCAGAGGCCCCATGAGGCCCCACAGAGGGCCATGCTGGCAGCACATCGCGAACTGCGCGCCAGAGTTCGGTCCAGGAACAAAAACATCGTCGGATGCCTGGGGGGTTCAAAGGCGCCTAACTTTGCGCTCTCGCGCCGCCTCCCCAAAGAAGAAGAGGATGAGGAGGAGCCGAATCGCGAAGCGCGAACGACTTCGCGCCCTCGAGGGCGCCCTTGGACAAGCCGCCCCAGCGCGGCCGCCGCCGCGGCCGCCGCGGCCACCGCCCAGCGGCCGCCGCGGCGCGCGGGCCACGCCGGCCGCGGCCCGCCGCGGGCCGCAAGCGCGGGGGGCATGGGCGCCCGAGGGGGCGCCGCCGCGCGCGGGCGCCCGCGCGCGCAAGCCCGAGGCGCGGCTGCTGTGGTTCTACAATCAAAACGTGCATCAAGGGCGGGTGGCACGGACGCAAGACCCTTGGAGGCCGAAGTCGGGGCTTTTTGGGCGGCGGGCGACCAGTGTAAACGACAGAGGACGGGCCGCAGAGGCAAGGACACAAGGGTACCCCAGGTGAAGGCGCGCGTCCTTTCTAGGCATGTTGACGGTAGTTCGGTGGCAGCTCGCAGGAACCTACCATGCCATCTTGCTGGCTCTTGCGAATCGTCGCTAACCGACCCCAGTCGACGCTATAATCGAGGCTGGTTCGACGCTGATCAACGCCAAGTCGGCGATCTCTCATCGATTACCAGACGCTAGCGCACGCTAAAGCACTCTAAAAACGGAATTGCGAGGACACACTCGACTGACATGACTTGCGACCGAATTCCAGGTTGGCATCGTGCGCGCCCCGAGAGGACACGAGGTCCTGGCAAAGAGAAAAGCGGCAGCCACCGATACAATGGCGACGACAAACGGCGATGGCGAGGACGAGGACGACAAAGGAACGAGCGCAACGACCACGGACGACTTCGGCGACTGCGAAGCCGCCACTTGCTTGGCGCGGGCCTCCTCAGTAGAAGAACTGACGCCACCCGAGGCACGGTGCAGCGGGGTCTGCAGGCTGGAGCGGGAGGTCCGAGCGGCGCGAGTGCGGGGCGGGGATGCGTCCATGGCCACCGCCTGGGGGATCGATCTTCGGGGACATCGGCAGCTGGTAGACGTGGATATATTCTGCCCCGCAAGGGTTACACTAACTATCATACCCATATCAACCGCTCGCTGGCGTCCCGGCGCGTCTGTTCCCCAGGTGGCGGACAGATCCCCGCCCGGCAGCGAGACAGGGGACAAGCAAGGTGAGCAAATTTCCTCGGGTCCTACCTCAGAGCCGTGTGGAAGAGGCCTGTCAGGATCGCCTGGGGCCCTCACCCCATAGGCCCACCGTGGTCGGGTGACGGCCCTTCCACGGACAGAAAGGACATGGGAGAGGAAAGGGGAGGGGCGGGGGCATAGGGGCACCTCAGGCTCCCACTCTGAACCCGCTCGGCGTCTAGTCCCACTCGGCCGCCGAGTGGGCCGCCAGAGTAGCTACGGCACGGCACGGCACGGCACGCGGGCCGCAACTTTTTCGCGGCGGCGAGCCCGGGAGGAAAAAGAAAAGAAGAAGGCCTTCTCTCGGAAGTCCCCCGGCCCTCCGAGAAGTTTTCTGAGCCTTCCCCGAAGACACCGAAAACCTCTCCGGAAGGCGCGAGGGCTTCTGAGAAGCCCCGCCGCCTTCTGAAAAGGCCTTCTCCTTCTCATTATCCCCCCTCGCTCGCCGCCGAAACCAGGGTCTAAGCACGGCACGGCGAACGATGACGGCGAACGAACACGGCGAACGAGCACGGCATCTCCTTCGCGTTCCCACCACAAGCGCTGCACGATACACGAGCAGTGGCAGGGCACGCGGGCGGCAACACCTGCCCATCCCAGACGCTCGGGAAGGCACGGCACGGCACGGCACACGAGCACGGCACGAGGGCGGCACGCGCGGGCGGCAAGTCATGCCACGCACGGCGCGCGGGCACGGCACGGCACGGCACGGCACCACCTTTCGCCTTCCAGCAGCTGTGCGCGGCGCGGCACGGAACGCGGGCACGGCACGGCGCGGGCGGAACTTGTTTCGCATTCCAGGTGCTAGAGTAATGTTCCATTGCAAAACCCACCAGCCCTCTAGGGCGTAGGTGGTCTAAAGAGCTTTCTCTTCCAGCCCACTTCTTCCCGTTCGGGGAAGGGTTTGCCCCTCCCCCATACCCCATTCCCTGGACGGGGGGATCCGCGACGCGTGGAAGCGTCCAAGATGGCCCAAGACGGCTCCAAGAGGGCCTCAGAGAGCCCAAGATGACCGCCTCCGAGACTTCCCAGGAAGCCGCCAAAAGGCAGAACCAGACGGGCCCATCGGGCAAGTAGACCCAAACGGGCGGGTCGGGAAGGCGGGCCCAAGCGGCCAGGTCGAGAAGGCGTGGTACTGAAGCGTGAGTCCTGCATGACTCGCGAGGAGAGCTCGAGCGATAGCGCAATTCCCAAGTAGTAAATCATGAGGAAGGAGGAAGGCCAAAGCGAGAGCGTGATTCCTGAGTGTCGAGGGCGCGGCGTCTGAATAAATCGCAAGGAAGTCCCCCCAAGAGCGCGATTCCTGCATACTCTGGACGTCCCGCGCGAGAGCATATCAACTTGTGAGGAAGTCCCGCGCGAGAGCGTATCATACTCTGGACGTCCCGCGCGAGAGCGATACTCCAAGTCTCGATGTGGAAATAACTTGTGAGGAAGTATCAAGCGGGAACCGCTGTTGTTGCTGTTATTGTTGTTGTTGCTGTTGCTGTTGTAAACCTGAGCCCAACAATACAGTTTGGTGACACCCATCTTTCCCTTGTAAAAAACAGAGTGCGAGCCCCAGGATAAACACTTGAATTAAATCATGCAACTGTTACTGGGGAGGGAAGAGCACCCATAACGATTCTCTCGAAATGAGAATGCAACAACAAGAAACATAATCCGCGCCGCGGAACCCCACTTCAGCCACGCGCCCAGGGACAGTGAATGACCGTTCGGCCCCCTCACTCTGATAAGATGACACGGTGCCCAAACCCATCTTGAGGGACGGGGTGGCCATCCGGAAAAACAGAAGAATGCGATCTCCACCCACAACTGTGCCACGAAGTGTCCCCTCCAGTGAGCCACGTTCAGAGGAGGGAGAGAGGGAGCGAGAATGAGCGAGTTGGAGGAGCGAGGAGGGAGGATCGGGCCGGGCGAAAGGGGGGGATAGCACAGGGTGGGTTTGAGAATCAGCTCACGTAGCTGATTTTCCCGGCGCCTCCCGGCGCCAGAGGCGGCTATGTCTCGAGGAATGGGCCCCTCGGTGAGGCCCAAACCAGCTGCATGCAGCAGATTTCGCATACCCACCTGTCCCAATCCCCCCCTTTCGTCTGGCCCGAGAGGAGGGAGCGGTCGGGGGGGGGGGGAGGCAGCCGTGCAGCACCGCACGGAGCGCGCGCCACCCGCCGAGGCCCGGCGGCGGGCGGAGCTGCGGCGTGGGCGCGGGCAGCGCCAGGAACACCTCGTCCTGCGCCCCGGGGGGGGGGGCCGCCCTCGGCCGGGGGCCCCGACTTTGGGCGCCCAACAGCAGTTCTTGCTCATTTTGAACAGGAGTCGCTGTCGGTGTCGCCGCGGCCTGTGTACATTTAAGACACAGGGCCGCCTGCCCAACAGCGGCCGCTGTTGGTTTGGGACAACATTTGTTGTTGGGCATTGTACCCGTTCTTTCCGTGCCCATTTCGGGCGTCCAAGACTTCGCTGGCAACTCTCGGCCCGGCGACTTCGCTGGCGCCCTGGGTGAGAGCGCGTTTCTCTGTTTTCGGCGATGCTGGGCATTATAAGGGGGGGGGAAGGGGCGGGGGGGTATAATGTAACGCCTCCCCCCCGCCGTGTGCCCGATGCGCACGGCGGCAGTGCCAGGAGCGCACTGGGAGGGGAGGGCCGTTACGTTAGAGAGGAGGGGGGGGGGGCGAGGGGCTATGATGTCCACTATGCCCCAAGCAATACAGAGACACGCTCCAAGAGCGACCTTTGGTGCGCGGCAGTTTTGGGGGCGCAAAGCGCTGCTGTCGCATCGCGTTCGGCGATCGGGTGACCCCACTGGGCCCGCACCAGAAGGCCACTCCAGCGAAGGGTCACTCTTACGTGTATCGGCGGTGGACAAACCTCCCTTTGACAAACCTCCCCTTAATGAAAACGGCCTGGGACCGAAACCGACGGACCCGGACCCGCAAAAATGACGGCCGCGACGCCCCATCGCGAACCGAAAACGGCCAATTCCTGAATCGACGCGTCAGGGTAGGAGGCCTGTCCACCCCCGAGTGTCGTCGAAGCTCGCGGGAGCCACCTGGCGGCCGGCGCAACGCGCTCGGGCCGCGGCGGGCGGCCGCGGCCCGCAGGCATTGGCGGGCACTGGCGCCCGACGGGGGCGCCGCGCCTGGCTCGGTGGCAGCGCGTGGGGGCCTCCCAGACAGTCTGGCTGGCCCTGGCGGATCGACGCTGATCGTCGCAAGTCGACGCCAGTCGACGCTGAATCGACGCTAAATCGGCGCTAATCGGCGCTGGCCGACGCTGAAACGGAGCTATCCCATTGATCAGCCGACGTTAAACGAGGCGAGCGAAATCTAAAGACGGAGTTACCAGGGTACGCAAAGCCCCCATGATTGGCAACCGAACCTGACTGCGGATCTGCCATACTTTGATGGTTTTGTCAGTCTTAGAAATGTGTCGGAAATGCATCCCAAACGATGCGAAAACAGAATGCGTACACTTCCGTGTCAGATCAAACAATTTGGGCGGATACTTCCGCAAACGGATGGCGGAAACAACGACGGCAAAGCAAGGGGGAAATCGACACCAAAAGAGCTTGTCAAATAAGGCGGAACTTTCCGCCCTACTTGCGAAATCGCCCAAAATACGGCGGATCCGGAGTGTGGTCCTCCTCTATTTTTGACGGCAAACTTAAGGAGCACTGCCTGTAGCGTTCTTCGAACTGGCTTAGGTCACCTTGGCGACAAATTACGGTCGCAGGTCAGTGCGGAAGAAGGCCGGGCAATGAGGTCAAGAACAAACGTAGTAGCACGCAAGGCAAAGAGTAACCGACCGTGAGATCGAGCGGAGTAGGATAACGAATCACATGAACATAACTATGCACATGACCACAACGAAGGAAAGACGGCACTCCGTACGGAGTAAACGAAATACGCGTGAAAGTATGCAAAAGGGAAACTCAGTGCAAAGTCTAGCCTGCAAAGGTAGCCGTAGGGATTAGGCCGACGCAGTGTGCAATTCCCCCCGACCCGCCGATCTATAGCCTCGCATCCGATCCTCCTCCTCCTGCAGCTCCTCCTCCTGTCGCTCATTCTCCTCCTCCTTTTCTCCTTCTCCTCATCCTCCTCCTCATCCTTCTCTCTCCTCCTCGCTCCTCGCTTCGGAGCGGGGGTCAAAAAGATCAAGGGGGAAGGAGTACGGGCGAGTACATGCCAGCCAATAAGCTGGCATTGTGCTGTCAGCCTTGCAGAAGTAAGCCTGTAATATCATCTGGCCTCGCACCCAGCATTACAATCTTCTAGAGGGGCCAAGGCAAAGCCATTGACTACAGCCCCACTATACCAAAGTGCTTGCATCCCTGAGGGTCCGGATCCCTCGTTCCTTCCTCCTCCCTCCCTCCTTATTTTCTCCCTCCTCCTCCCCCTCTGGGGCAAAATTCGGTTGGGCCGAATCGTATGGGCAATGCCTCGGGCATGAGTCTGCGAACACTTGCTGGTCGGTACCGCCGCTGCTCTTTTGATCATCCCCTCGAAGCGAAAGTCCTCATCCCCCTCCTCCTCCTCCTCCTCCTTCTCCTCTTCCTCCTCCTCCTCCTCCTCCTCCTCCTCCTCCTCCTCCTCCTCCCCGTTCCCTCCTCGCAGCTCCTCCCGCCCCTCGTTTGTTGACGGTCCCAAGGCGGAGAAACAGAAGCGGCCTCGAAAGGCTGAACTGGCCGCCGTCCGCTCCGATCCTGACAGAAAGCGCCGACCATGCACCCACACCGATCCTGACCGGGCCGATCCGTGTATACGCCCTCCTGGGCCTGGGCCCAGGACCTGCGTAGGCGCACAGTCGCGGCACTGCCAGAAGGAACGCAAAACAAGAAACGAAGCCCCTTGTTGGCGCCGACAAGAGGAGGGCCACAGCCGAACCTGAGGTAGAAAGACATCCGGCAAAAGCATGAGACCCTTCGCCGGCCAAAACACACGGAACATCTTGGGAGACCCTTCCCTGGATGCACAAGAACATCCAACAAGCACGAAAAACATTAGAGTACCATCCCCGAGCCGACCTCGATTTGATACCTGGATCCGTCCGTAGAGGAACGACCACGGAGCGACTCAAGGAACAGCGAGCCCCTTCCGAACCCAAAGTGGTCCTTATGTCAGCGTCTGGGCTGTATGGCCGACGACTCTTGATCTGAAGGAGGCTCCGCGGTGAGGGGGGGCCGTCCGCTTTGTCGCGGAGCTCCCCGAAGAGATCGCCCCCGTAGACCTGGACGCCAACGTCCTGGAGGCGCGCGCGCGACGAGGACGGCAACGGCGACGGCGGCGGCGGCGACGGCGACGACGACGGTCATCGATGGTCGACTGCGCCCGCCACGTGGCAACACCTGAGAGGGGCGAAATGGCTAGGCAAAGGGCGGACATAATACGACTGCAGTATACTTCTCGAGTGGCAGCGCGGGATGCCCGCACACAAAGAACAGTGTGGTCCACCTGCCGCGCAGCAGCGCCTAATCGCGAACGAATGCGCAGGTCGATTCTGCTCGCCGCGCAGCCGCGCAGGACAACAAATTACAACCCCACCTTGGTCGCCACTTGGCAAAGCAAGGCCGCGGAAACAGGCAAGATGTCGCTCTGCTCGTCTCGTGGAACCGCCTGGGGGGATGGGGCAGCGAAACTGAAACTGCTCGACACCCCACGCTCCTGCCTTGTCCCCCTTGCCTTTCCTCCATCCCTTTGGAAGCCTGGAAATGGGCACCAACACCCACACAGGGGGTTGCTTCCACAGGGGGAAGATGATCCTGGATTTCGGCGTTGCTGGTAATATTTCGGTCACCCTGAAGCCAGAATCTGACCACCATCGCCGAGATCGGGATCATCTTCCCTCGGTGGAGGCACACCGCCGATATTGGTGTTGGTGTCAACCTCTAGGCCTGCGATCCCTTCCCTCGAGAGAGCGCGCCCGTAGTACACTCCCAAAGGGGGGGAGGGGGGTCCCCCCTTAGCTGCCGCCCCCCCCCCCCTGGACCTCCCCTGCTGCCCCCCCTTCCTTTTTTCCCGCCCCTCGAAAGCTGCCCCCACCTCCTCTCGCGCTCTGCAAGCTATCCCCCCCCTTCCAAAAGGGGGGGGCTCAGCTACCCCCCCCCCCCCCCCCCCCCCCCGTTAAGACCCCATCGGAAGCCCCCTCCCTCTTTTTTTCCACCCCTCTGAAGCCCCACCCCCCTTCGTTTTCCGCCCCTTGGAAGCTACCCACCCCCATTTCTCTCGCTCCAGCAGCCGAACCCCCCTAGCTCCCCCCCGTTCCGATTGGGGGGGGGGCTTAGCAACACCCCCCCTTTTAACTTCCCCTGCCGTAAGCCCCCCCCCTCCGTCCCATATGGCTGAAGGAAGCAGCGCCGAAGACTAACAGGGCGCCGAAACCAACAGAGCGCCGAAAACCAAAGGGCGCCGAACATCGAAAGAGCGCGAAGACCAGAGGCGCGACGAAAACCAAAGGAAAGTTGAACACCGAAAGGGCGCCGAAAACCGAAGGTGCGCCGAAAACCAGAAACGGGCGCCGACAAACAAAGAAGCGCAGAAAAACAAGGGAGCGCCGAAAACTAAAAGGGCGCCGAAAACCAAAAGGTCGCCAACAATCAAAAGGTAAGCCGGAAACCTAATACGTGCCGAAAACCAAAAGAGCGCCGACAAGTAAAGAGGCGCCGAAAACCAAAAGGCGCCGAAAACCACAAGAACGCCCCGAACCCAAGAGGCGCCGAACAAACAAAATTATCCCGGCAAAGCAACCTAACAGCGATGTGTAGAAGCATATCTGAAAGCATATCTGAAAGCATATCCAGTTGTCGAATTCTGCTGTTCTCGCAGTCGTAGTCGCATTCGCGATGACAGTCGCAGCGGCAACGGCAGTCGCAGTCACAGCCTCAGCCTCAGCCTGCCTCCTCCTCCTCCTCTTTTTCCTGCTCCTCCTCCTCCTCCTCCTCCTCCTCCTCCTCCTCCTCCTCCTCTTCCTCCTGCTCGTCCTCGTTCTCGTCCTCCTCGTCTTGCTCGTCCTCCTCCTCCTGGTGCTCCTCCTCCTCCTCCTCCTCCTCCTCCTCCTCCTCCTCCTCCTCCTCCTCCTCCTGGTGGTCCTCGTTCTCCTCCTCCTGGTGCTCTCCCCCCCCCTCCTCCTCCTCGTCCTCCTCCTCCTCCTCCTCCTCGTCCTCCTCCTCCTCCTCCTCCTCCTCCTCCTCCTCCTCCTCCTGGTAGTCCTCCTCCTCCTCCTCCTCCTCCTCCTCCTCCTCTTCCTGGTCGTCCTCGTTCTCGTCCTCCTCGTCTTGCTCGTCCTTCTCCTCCTGGTGTCTCCTCCTCCTCCTCCTCCTCCTCCTCCTCCTCCTCCTCCTGGTGGTCCTCGTTCTCCTCCTCCTGGTACTCTCCCCCCCCCCCCTCCTCCTCCTCCTCCTCGTCCTCGTCCTCCTCCTCCTCCTCCTCCTCCTCCTCTTCCTCCTCCTCCTCCTCCTCCTCCTCCTCCTCCTGGTACTCCTCCCCCTCCCCTCCTCCTCCTCCTCCTCTTCCTGGTCGTCCTCCTCCTCCTGGTCGTCCTCCTCCTCCTGCTCGTCCTCCTCCTCCTCCTGCTCGTCCTTCTTCTCCTGCTCCTCCTGCTCCTCGTCCTGCTCCTGCTCGTCCTCGTCCTCCTGGTCTTGCTCGTCCTCCTCCTCGTCGTGCTCTTGCCCCTGCTGAAAATGTGGCCCAGGAATGGGAGTTCTGGGAAGTCGAAGAGCACGAAGTTGCCTACAGTTGGCTACGGGCATTCAAAATGTGGCCCGGGAATGGAGTTCTGGGAACTCGAAGAGCACGAAGTGGCCTACAGTTGGCTCCGGGCATTCAAAATGTGGCCCGGGAATGGAGTTCTGGGAACTCGAAGAGCACGAAGTGGCCTACAGTTGGCTCCGGGCATTCAAAATGTGGCCCGGGAATGGAGTTCTGGGAAATAGAAGAGCACGAAGTGGCCTACAGTTGGCTCCGGGCATCCAAAATGTGGCCCGGGAATGGCGTTCTGGGAACTCGAAGAGCACGAAGTGTGTGACTGTTGCATCCGGCCCCCCAGAATGTGGCCCGGGAATGGCGTTCTGGGATGTCGAAGAGCACTTTGTGTGTGACTGTTGCATCCGG